CGCAGCTCATCCCTCCTCCCTCGTCCCCTCTCCCGCCAACCCGCGCTTCCCCGGCCCGTCCCTGCCCTACGCGCTCGGCGCCGCCCTGCCCCGCCCTGCGCAGCACAGGTACGGCTCCGGTTGCTTCGCCCGAGGCGCGGGTCCTCTGAGTGGGCTTGTCTGTGTCCGCGTGGGTTTCATCTGAGTGGTTTGGTTTGGTGCGCGCAGGTGGTTGATTGATTCATGGCCGCCAGCGTGCGGGAAGGTGCGGCGGCGGCGGCGGCCGCGGGGCACGCGGTGGACGATTACGACGTCTCGGACGGCGAGATGGACGTCGACGTCGACGTCGAGGCCGGCAGCGAGCTCCAGCACGCCGGCGGAGCCGGCGACGACGGCCGGAGGGACGGCGACGGCGACGACGAGTACGCGCTGGTCGGTAACCACGTTCCTTTGGGCTTGGTGTCGCGGTGGTGTTGGTGGTTCCGCCGCTTGTTTTCTCCGAATCGCGAATCTGAGCCTGCCTGCACCTGCAGTTCCGCTTTCAGTTATCTAATTGATTGATTGATAGGTTGTCGAGGTTTATTTCTCTTTATGGTATGATTCGAAGTTCAGCGCTGATATTGTTTAGGGCGTTTAGGAGTTTATTATCAGTGGCTTGCCTGTACGTGTTAGTGTAGCGGCTGGTTCTTCAGAAAAAATAAAATCATGGGCACAATTAGGAGGTTCGTCCTGAAATCTGATCGCGGAGGCAAGTTCGCAGTGCCGCGGTTTCAGCTTAGTTTTCTAGCATGTTTACCACTTCTACCCGGTGGGTGAGAGCTATCCGTTTTATAAGTTAAAAGGTCGCAGTAGTTTGCTATGCTACGACAAAGTAGAGAAACATAACTTGCCATCAACAAAAGAACCAGTATATATTCTAAAAAAGAACCACTATATTATGCGAGGCGCGCAATCACTCGTGCAAAACATGCGCTTGTCGCGAGAGGAACCTTAGTCCAGTGATTATACTCAAAAGGGTGCGGAAAAGCTACTTTTAGACCATGTGGCTAGTTTACAGTGCTGATATTTCCTCGCTTAGTCTTTTGTTGCCGAATTCAATAGTTATGATAAAGAGGTGACTTGATGTCAATGGTGCTTGTGGAGCAGATTAGTATTGCCCAATCATTCCAGCTCGAATTTGCTACTTGTGTTTATCTCCAGCCAATAATGATCTGGCTTACCATTCCCTGTAACGTCGTTTTCACAAGTGGCATACACTGCATAATTTTCAATGCCCCACTTTACCAGGCGTTGTAGATGCCATGTTTCAGTGCTTTTTGAATTGGCTAAGACCAAACAGCATAAAACATGGCTTTCTACTAGAAAAAAAAGGACCTGTGCCTTTGGCCTTGTTGATCATTCAACTGCTGAATAAAAATTAGCGCATGGGGCCGCCATGTTTTGGCGTATGCATGAGAACTATTTATGTGGCCGTACCTGAGTCTATCTAATCATCAAGATAACGACATGGTTGAATAAATTGTTACTGATGTAGCTCATTAAGGATAAATAATTGCTTTAAAAGTACTTTGTGTGATTTTTTGCCCTTTTGATATTTTAAACGCTTGGCGAAATTATAATATTGTTCAGGCCTAGTAGTTTCCGGTGCTTATATAAAAATATCCTAGTATATTAAGCTAAAGCGTATTGATATTTGACTGTTTTCTACAGCTCACCAGGATAACTGACACATCAGCAGCTGAAGCAAGGGCAGGAAAGGATATACAAGGTATACCATGGGAGAGGTTACAAATCACCAGGCAGGATTACAGAAAAGCTAGGTTGGAACAGTACAAGAACTATGAGAACTTCCCTCAGTCCGGAGAGCTCATGGATAAGGTCTTAATTAATATCAATTGTATCTGTCAATGTTTACTCTATTTTCTAGATGACCAAATTTCCTAAAAGGATCCTCTGAAATGTTAATAGTTGTGCAAGCAAGTGGAGAGCAGCAGCAAGTACTATGAATTTCAATACAACACTCGGATAGTGAAACCCTCAATTCTCCATTTTCAGGTGAGTTGTCATCTGTCTTCTGTTTAATGCAGGATTTGTAGTATGGCATACTTATTACATCCATTAGCATTACGTTATATGGACTTCCATTTTCCTTCTTTCGCATTAGCATTTATTGTGCTTTCTTTGCAAAGTTCTCTGTCTTATCTGTATCCATATCAGCAAGAGGTCTGAAAAGATAACTTAGTTTCCTTTTTTATGGGATCTCTGGTTTAAGGGTTCCACTAGAATGGTTTAACTTTATAAATTGTACTGCAGCTTTGAATTAAATGCTGCAGTGGTTACATAGAGTTTCGCATGAAACTGTTAAAAGGAGTATAACCCTGAAAATGGGCAATGGAGGTTATTGTGGATTTATAAAGCACTGATTGATTTGGGACATAGCTGGATATCTGTATCAATTATGTTAACTCAGCTCAAGGCCGGTGATGCAAATACAAAGTTATTCCACCTCCGTGCAACGGGCGGCAGCGCAAAAATCATACTCCTTTCCTCCACTCGGGCACCTCTGTGGTATCTGATCATAGAGATAAAGCTGATCTGCTCCTCAACCACTTCTGTTTGCTTCCTGGCATGAGTGAGGGCAGACCCTTCCAACTTGATGGTGATTTCCTGCAGCTGCCTAGGGCAAATCCAAGTCACTGAGACCCTCCTTTCACCATGGATGAGCTCAAGGTGGCCATTAAGGATATGCCTTCTGAAAAAAATCCCTGGCCCTGTCGGTTTTATAGGTTTATTCTTCAAGATGTGCTGGAGTACTATCAAGTTCGACCTCCTGAGTGCTCTTAACCAGCCGTTTGCAGTTAATGTCCAACATTGGAATTTGCTGAACACTGCTCAAGTTGCGCTTATCCTGAAGAAATTGCTGGCCTGCTGATTATAGACCGATCAGTTTATTGCAAAGCGTGACGAAGATTCTCAGAAAATTGCTTACCCTACGCCTTGCCCTGAGCTGAATAATCTCATCTCTCTATGTCAGAATGCTTTCCTCAAGAGATGCATCCAGGGCAATTTCCTACATGTACAGAATCTGATTCACACCTAAATCAGATCGAATCAAAGCCTGCCCGCTTCCTCAAGCTGGATATTGCAAAAGCCTTTGATTCGGTCTGATTTATTTGTTTTTCTAGTGAGTCCTGGTAATGCTCCTAGACGGCGTATTTTTTAAAGCCTTTGATTCTGTCGGTTTCAAGGCGCAGTTTGGATTTGGGCAGAAGTGGAGAGATCTCATTGCCGTATCTTTGGCTTCCGCCTCTTTCTGTGTCCTCAACGGTGTACCTGGCATTCTTTTCCTGCACTGACTACCTCCGCCAGGGTGACCCTTTGTCGCCTCTCCTATTCTTGATATTGCCATCGAGCCGTTCAAGATCCTCAAAAGGGTGACGAACGATGGAATTCTGAGTCAGCTGTCCAGCCGCCATGCAAGGTTCCATGTTAGTATCTGTGCTGATGATGTCGCCTTGTTCATCAACCCTGTGAGAAGCGATGCCCTGCACTCTGTTCTTGCTGCTTTTGGTGATGTTTCCGGCCTGCGCACAAGTTTCTCAGAACCAATTTCCTTCCATATCCACTGCTCCAACCTGGATATCAATGACACTTTGGTATCCTTCTTGCGTGATCTGGGGGCTCCCTGCCATGTTCCTATCTCGGGCTGCCTAGTACAAGGAAATCCAGTAAAATTCAGATCCAACCTGTCCTCGACATTGGCTGCTAAGCTTGCGGGATGGAAAGGAAAGCTTATGACTAAGGCAGGTTGTCTGGCTTTGATAAAGTCTGTTCTCACCTCCATCTCCAGAATCTGGCAACTCAAGATGGAGCCCAAGGTGTTTTTTTGGCTATCTGGTATCTGCACCGAATTGGTTACTAACGGTGGATCACCTGCAAGCCCGGGGTTGGCCACATGATGATTGGTGTGCCCTGCGCGACCAAATTCTTGAACCTGCGGTGCACCTATTCTGTCTGTGCCCTTTTGCTAGGAAAGTCTGGCACCTGACCTGTTGCAGGCACTCAAACCTGAGGCCTAGGATTTCTAATCTTCAGGGCTTGATGTCATTTTGGTGAAGCGCTTGAGCTTCTGGTCCTAAGAAGGCTGCGCTGACGGCGTCTTATGCTGCTTGGCATATCTGAACGAGGGCAATAAAATTATGTTCTCCAACCAAACCCTTAATCCACACCAGGTTGGTTGCCTCGTGGAGGAAAGCCTCCAGTCTGTAACTGGCCCCTTGCACAAACGCAGTGTTTATCCCTTGTACATGCAGCACACTCGTTTAGCAATTGGTCTCTTGGACTCTTGTGCTCTTGCACCTGTACATACACTCTCCGCTTAATCTATAATGCAGCAGCAGAACTCCTACCAGTTACAGTAAAAAATGATGTAAACTCAATGTGTTTGTCTGCATTGCATTATATCTGCCTCATTCTCTACTGAAGATCAGGCCAATTAGATGTATCTATTCATATGATTCTTAATGCTGCTCGCACTGATCAACCCTTTTTTTCATTGTAGCTTCGGAATTTGTTATGGGCAACTTCAAAGCATGATGTTTATTTCATGTCGAATTCCACAGTAGGCCACTGGTCGTCATTGTCTCACAAAATGACAGATGTTCTTGATTTCTCGGGGCATGTTGCTCCAGCAAAGGTTTTCCTCTTTTAAAGTTCCTGGTGCTTCCTTCTGATCAGTTATTCTTATTTTTTCTCCCAAGTTTGACGTTCTGTTTGTTGATTTATACCGATTATGCAAGTAACCTATATTAATTTGTTGGTTACGCAGAAACACCCTGGCTGTGCACTAGAAGGGTTTACTGGCGTTCAAGTTAGCACACTTGCAGTAAATGAGGGTTTATTGGTCGCTGGTGGTTTTCAAGGAGAACTAGTTTGCAAGGTAAGGTGTTAGGCAGTGTTACTATTACTGTAACCTCCACTTGAATTCTGTATCTGCTGCATTTTGTTTTCTTCCAATTTTCTTCTATTTGTGCAAAGTATTTTATATCAGAAGTTACAAAATGGTCAGAAATCATCCTTATGGCCTGTTTGAAGTAAAGGTTTTTGTTACATTTTATAGGAATATAATCCTCTAGAAAGTTTTCCTATGAAGTTTTCTTTGTGATTGTTGGATTAGCTTTGAAAAAATCCTATATGAACTCTTCATTCACCTTTGGAGAGTTTGAAACATCTAGTCAACCTCATGTTTTCAGTAACAAGTTCAACCTCTTCTCTCTAGTCAAGAAGTGTTTGCCTGTAAAGTTGAGGTGGAGCTTCCAGATAGATATTTTAACTCCCGTAAAAAATCCAGGAGACATGATATCCAATTCCTGTGGTTTTACTATTTTTACGTATTCCCACTCTGCATTCTAAACTGGTCATATCCCCCTTCTGTTGTTAGGCTGACATATACTCCCTTAGTATATGGGCAGCAGAGTAGGAATGGGAAACAAAAGAGACACTGCATAAGGGGGTAGTATATAGGCAGCAGACTGCCCTTAATTTTTCTTTAATTGGATACCTGATTTATATAAATGGTAAATCATGAATAGCAGGCTGACATGCTCTGCATTTCTCTGTCTTTATGCAGAGTCTAGGAGAACGTGATGTTAAGTTCTGCACAAGGACTACTTTGAGCGACAATGCGATCACAAATGCTATGGATATACACAGATCTACAAGGTAAAAAAATCACTTGCAGACCTCGCATCTGAAGTTGTAGATATTGTTATAGAAATCTGAAGGTTTGCGAAATACTCATGTAGTGGAAGCTTGCGCATTACGGTATCGAATAATGATTCTGGTGTTCGTGAATTTGATATGGAAAGATTTCAGCTCTTGAATCACTTCCGTTTTAACTGGCCAGTGAATGTAAGTTCTATCTCTTCAAGATCACATAAAAATTTCAGGTTATTGTACCTTTCTTAACTGTTCCCCTTGCCTGTCGTTCCCCCAATGACAGCACACATCTGTGAGCCCGGACAAGAAACTTTTGGCAGTAGTTGGAGATGACCGGGATGCTCTTCTTGTTGATTCACGAAATGGCAAGGTATTTGGCTAGTATATGCTTGTTATCAGCCATTATCTTTTGTAGGTATCTCAGATATTATTATGTTAGTCTTATTATACTATTGGCTCCTTGCATTACTAGTAAAGTGAGATGTAAGCACCTTAATTATATTTATGACTTCATTGAAAGGGTTTCTTGGTGTATTCTTTTTTCTTGGACTTCCATTCCTACTGTGGAGAATGATGTACATGCATCAGTCTTGCTTGTTTCCATGCACATAGGGCACTAGTCATCAGATTCTCTGTTTTACCTTTCCCCCTGCAAGATTTTGCCAGTCGTTTGTTTTTGTAAAAATTGCATATCATGGGACATTATTGTGTTGGCAATGCCTAGTTTGAAACGCGGAGCTTTCAATCATAAATCAGCTATGCTGGTGATCCTCTTTGGAAAGATCAAAGTGGAGTCAGGGGCTTGGAAATTTGCGACAAATAAGATTTTGGTGCAAATGATGTCCTAGTTTTTCTTTTCATTTCTGTACAGGCTTCTGCCCTCCATGTTTCATCTTTATCGATAGAATAAGATTTTGTGCAAATGATGTCCTAGTTTTTCTTGTGCATTTCGCCATTCAATCGCTTTTATTTTTAATTTTTGTACAGATCTCTGTCCTCCATGTTTCATCTTTATCGATAGAATAGGCAGAGCTCAGGTTTTTTTTTATTTTCATGCTCATGGTGTCGCCGGCATTATCTTGACTGTTGTGTTATCTGGACAGAGACATCAGTATTCAATTTTTCTTTCCTGTGCAGGTAACTTCTACCCTAGTTGGCCATCTGGACTACTCGTTTGCCTCGGCGTGGCACCCAGATGGTATCACCTTCGCAACCGGAAACCAGGACAAGACCTGCCGGGTGTGGGACATCCGGAACCCGTCGACCTCCCTTGCAGTCCTGAGGGGCAACATCGGCGCAATCCGGTGCATCCGCTACTCCTCGGACGGGCGGTTCCTGCTCTTCTCGGAGCCCGCCGACTTTGTGCATGTCTACAGCGCCGCCGAGTGCTACCGGAAGCGGCAGGAGATCGACTTCTTCGGTGAGATCTCAGGGATCTCGCTCAGCCCGGACGACGAGTCCCTGTTCGTGGGGGTGTGCGACCGCGTCTACGCCAGCCTGCTGAATTACAGGATGGTACACGCCAACGGGTACCTGGACTCGTACATGTAGAGGAATAAAACCTTTGTGTTTGATGTGAAAGAAAGAGCGCCAGAACTGCTGAAAATCTGAAGATCTCGCTCGGCCCCGGATATGCCAGCGTGCTCCATTACAGGATAGTCCGTGCCTTCGGGCACCTGGACTCTGTACATGTAGAGAAAGAAAGCTTGGTGCTAATTTTAGCGTGTTCGTGTGAAGGAAGAGCGGAATTGCTAAAAATCTGCCGAACTGTAACTTTAAGGAGATCAGTATGGAATTTATACCAACTTCAAGTTCGAACGCAAGCTAACTCGAGTTTGAGTGAGCTGAGCTGAGGTTGAGTTAGCTCGTACTCCCTTCGTCCGGAATTACTTGTCATCAAAATGGATGAAAATAGATGTATCTAAAATTAAAATACATCTAGATACATCCATTCCAATGACAAGTATTTTCGGACGGACGGAGTATAAAATAGTACGTATAATTTGAAGCGCCTTCAGTTAAAGTATAAGATGCAACCGTGCATTCCACGAATTATTGTCTACGTGAATCGTTTTCCCTCTAGAGACAGATGGGTGACTAGAAACCCTAGCCACCACCAGGAGAGCCGAGCCTTCCGGTGCCGTCTTCCGGCGGCTCCCCTCTGGCTGACGACCTCTTGGTGGTGAGGGACTGAGGGGGGTTCATCGGATTCCGTGCATGCGGATTGCTTAGCTTTAGGTTTTAGGCCCCTAGTAGCTCATGTTTTCGGTCGTTTGGCATTCTTAGCTTCGGCGGTGACGGTGACGACGCTGAATAAAGAAGCTCCAAATACTTACCTGATCGCCTCCTTTATGGTCGATGATGAATTTGAGAATTTATAGTATGTTCAAGCGGGGAAGTCGTGGTGGCGACTGGACATCTTTATGGTGGACTTGTGTCTTTGGCATCCGTCGTTGCGACTGCATGCTCTAGCGTCGGAGTTGAGCTTGGGAGGTAGTTTAGGAGCGGATGCAGAATGTGGTCTGTATCGGGAGCTGCATCTGGAAGACGGATCGTATGTTGGATTCATGGTTGATGCCTCATGGGTATGATTTTCTTCTCCGGCGTCTTAGTCGTGTGGGGGCTGCCATATCGAGCTCGATTGCGTGTATGAGGTGCTTGCCCGGCTAGATTCTTTCAACGACAATGGCTTCACCTTTGGAAAGCTACTTTGGAGGTCCACATAGCTGCATATCAGCAATAGAGCCGCATCGAGCTCGTGTGAAGAGGTGATTCAATGCATTTTTCTTTGGTGGCTGTTGCGGTGGTGCCGGAGGCAGGCGTAGGAGTTATGCTCAAGGGATTCGTCGATCTTTGGTTGTAGGTCTTTTTGGCTGATGGTCCTTTGTGCAGATGCTAACGTTCTGTTATCTTTCTAGCTTTGTTAAGTCTGGTGCCTACGAAGCTGTATCTTGACCTTCATTTTATGAATAAGACATGTATTACCTAAAAAAAAACTGTGCATTCCACTAAGCCCTACAGTACACTAGTTGATTCTCGATATACTTGTATGCGGGTTTTCGCCGGCTCCTGCTTGCATCCCTCTGGTTTGAGCTGCTCTCCCTTGACTGATACCAAGCCAATCTGGGGCCATTTCCATGCCAAACAATTTTTTAAAAAGATTTCGGTGATCCTTTGTGGCGCTATCTCCTCTGTACCAAAATACTTGTAGTTAGGGAATTTGTACTAGTTTCCCCACCCACAAGTATTTCGATATAGTGGTAGTATCTTAAATTAAGGCACAACTAATTAATCTAATCACCTTACTTTGGCAGGATGTTAAGGGTGAGCAAGACCAAACAAGACGAACTGAGTAGCTAGCAACAGTTGATGTGAAATCCCTACTCAATATTCATCAATTTTCTTGGTCAAACATAGACATGTTTGACTTTTAGAAAACAAAATATGCATTGTATTCTGGAACAGAGAGAGTATATGAGACAATTTCCTATAGCCTTTCCAATCAGTTCCACCAGACAGGAACACTCCTGTACGACCAGAGCTTCTCACTGACCTATGATGACATTCCCTTTTCAGAGAGAGAGAATTCCTTATTTGACCCATTCTTAAAATCTAGTTTCCTTTTTGATCTTAAAAATTTTATTTTTCCTTTTTTGACACCACAACTTTATTTTCTTCCTTCCTTGACACATCTGTCAGTTTTTGCCGTTAGCAACGTTAACTGTGACTGGAAATGTCCTTCTTACTCTGCTAGGACGCTAGAAAGGAAAACTGGTTGACCGAAACGTCAAACAGGGGCGCTGCACTGGGTCACACCCCCGATTCCCTCCCTACTCTCCTCGATTCCCCGTTCCTCGATCCCTAACCCTAAAAAAATTTCGCGGATGGAGGAGGGCGTGGCCAATGCTGCTACTGGTCGCGGGATGGACGGCGCGGTGGAGGGCGTGGCCGACGCTGCGCCGGTCTCGGCCTCGGTTGACTATGGCGGGGAGGCGAAGGGCGGCCATGGCGGGAAGGCAGAGGGAGTTCCAGGCACGCCACCGGAGGGCAGCCATGGCGGGGAGGCGGAGGGAGGTCCAGTTGCGGCGCCGGAGGGCGGCCATGGCGGGGAGGCGGAGGGAGGTCCAGGTGTGGCGCCGAAGCAGGTGAACGGCGATGGTGCGACGGCCTCGGATGCAAGTGCTCCGTAATGGCTACAAGGGTAAGTGCCTGTCTTCTCTATATTTGAGTATTTGCTACCATGATACGTCCTTGAACGAACATATTACTTAGAGATGGATCCAAAATGCAACATATTTGCTTCACCTTCCTTGACATGATTTTTCTCAAAACGCAACACTATTTTCATATAAAACAGTGTACTTGAGATGGATCGAAGATGCAACAGAGTAGTTAGAGATGGATATTTGCTGCCAAATCTAGAATGAAACAATAGACAAAGATTATGTTCATATGAAACAAATATGTTATATTGGATAATGTGTTTACACATGGCACTTTTTTATTTAAAACACGAAGCAAGTATGTTCATGCACAATTGATCTTTTGCTTTTATAGGATGGATCCAAATTCAACATATTTGCTGAAAATCAAATTGCTTGGCAACCCAAAAAAACTAGGAAGGATATCAAATGCTTTTGTTATGATAAGGTTATTGATTCCGACTTAACAAATTATAATGACTTGGTTGAATCAATCGTAGAGCAGTACTCGCCTCGTTATTTGGAAGTTGCACATGTTCAGTACTATGATCCTTTTCTTAAAATCTACCCCATCCGACCAAGAATTCGTGTCTATGTTTGAGAAACTCTCTAAGACAAAGGTTGTGCACTTGTTTGTTGCATATTGTGATCCATCTGAACCATATGAGCCTATCACAGAGTGGCATAGTGATGCGCATATCCAACCTAGCAACACAGAATAAGACGATGATGATTATCTTCGCAACCCAATACCTGCGAATGAACATGTTGGTGTTGATGAGGAAAATATTTATTTAGATGATGATGATTATCTTCGCAACCCAATACATGTACCTCTTATCATGGTTCCCTGTTCCGATAAAGAAAGGGACGAAGACTATGTTCCTGGTCATGAGAGCGAGGATGAGAGAGAGGATGAGGGCGATGAGGAAGTAGAGGAAGATGAGGAAGTGCACGAGGCAGAGCATACACCACATTTAGAATATGATAAATTAGATCATCTAATGATCGAAGGAGGAAAATATTCCAATATGGTAGAGTTTAAGTTGGCGCTTTCTCAACATGCAATCAAACATGAATTTGAGTTTAACACCGAGAAGAGTGCACCACATAGGTTCAGCGCTTATTGTTCAAGAAGGAATGAAGGTAAGTGTCCATGGAGGATATATGCTTCTACAATGGAAGATAAGTGTCCATGGAGGGTAAGCTGCTAGCCTTGAGGGAACTATATGGTGATTGGGATACAAGCTTTGATAATCTGTATAGTTCTAAGGCACAAATTGAAAGGTGCTGCCCCGGTAGCATAGTGATAATTGAGCACCACACAATAAAAGATAAAATCAGAGTTAAGAGATTTTTTGTCGCTTTGAAGCCTTGCATCGACGGGTTCCTTAGTGGTTGCATGCCATACTTGGCAGTAGATAGCACCTTCTTGACAGGCAGATTCAAGGGGCAACTGGCTAGTGCTGCCGCCGTTGATGACCAAATATGTCATCTTTATGTGAACCTGGACTATTGTATGTCACCTTTATGTGAACCTGAATGTGTGTAGATGACCAAATATGTGGGCTGTTTGCATATATGTGAACCTGGAGCAATTATGTGTTTTTTTGTTTCCATATGTGTGAATCTGCTTCGAATATGTGATAATTTTTGCCTATGGGTATTGTACAGGGGATACGACTACAAAATACAAGGGAGGCTCTGTCCAAATTTGTAAGTTGAAATTGAATTTGTGCATATGTGTACTGTACAGGGAATATATTACCAAATTGAACAAAATACAAAGCCTCCAAAATTGAATTTGAATATATTACCAAATTGAACAAAATACAAAGCCTCCAAAATACAAGGGAGGCTTTGTATAAATTTTCAATTGAAATTTGTGCATGTGTGTACTGTACTGTACAGAGGATAATTGCAGATTTTGTTTCATTTGGTAATATATTCTAGTTCATATTGCCACTGTTTTTTACTTCCATTTTGGCCACAAAATACATCAGGAGTAAAATGGACTTTTCATGTTGTATTTAATGGTGTTAGTTGGCAAAACCGACGGAAATGTCATAGAGGGAACAAAATGAAGTTTGAGTGTCAAAAAAGAAAAATAATAATTCTTTTAGGGCAAAAAAGGGAACCAGATTTTAAGAGAGGGCCAAATAAGGAATTCTCTCCTTATAGTTGTCTGTTGAAATAAGTTGCCCCTTTCCTAGCTTATTTTAGAAGCCATTAAGGATTACTCCCTCCGTCCGGATTTATTGGGCCTGTGAGCCAACTAGTGGAGTCTCTATTTGTAAGGCCTGAGCAATTAAAACACTAAGTTTTCTCCTTAACTCTTGGGCTATTCGTTGTGTTGATTCCAATGAAAGGCATGCAACCAATTAAATCGTTGGGCGTAATTAGGGCGGGCAAGTATGCAGCCAATTGCGTCCAAGCGCACACATGCAGTCACTTAAACCATTACAATTAATGCCTCTAAATTGTTGCGCACACATGATGTATGCCTTGGTCTCCATGCTTTGGCTCTCGGGCCCAATAAACCCGAACGAAGGGAGTAACTAGTAGGCTTCTAAAATAAAATTTTATTTAGACTTTTAGAATAAATTGGGAAGGGGCAGCTTATTTTCCACAACCAGCTATAAGCCCCAACAAGACTGGTCCTTTGTTGTCGTTGTGTGGTTGACTGTTTGGTATGGATCCATGCGTGGCATACACGGTGAGGGCTTCATCGATGATCATTAAAGATGAAGTAAGAGTTTTTTTTTTGCGGGGGGAAGATGAAGTAAGAGTTACAGAGTGATCACGATGACACATGTTGGCAACCTCGACGGTGGTGTTTCTTCTCAACTGTGTGCGTGAGGTTTTTATTCTTAGCCCCTTCGTAATGGTGGTGCCCGATTGGCTGATATCGTGACGGCCGGTGCGCTCGTAAGAGCATCTTCAACAGACGCCGAATATTAGCGCCGCGCCCAAATCACAAGTTTAGCATGCGCGGAGTTGAAAATAGCACTCGAGCATACGCTCAATAATAGAACACGCTGTAAAAAGTGTTCAACGCGTCGGACGAAACTGGATCGCAAGCCATATATTTGGCGCGTGAGCTTCAGCGCGCTGAACTCCTCGCGTGCGCCTGCCGGTAGCCTCCTCGCGGGCACATCCACAGCGGGGCGAGCAAGGGAGGAGCAGGCCACGGCAGGGTGAGCGCGGGCGCGGCCACGGCGGAGTGAGCAGGGAAGGAGCAGGCCACGGTGGGGCGGAGTGTGGGTGCGGGCCACGGCCACTGCGGCGAGCAGGCCATGGGCGGCTGCGCGTGGCCATCACAATGACGGCGAGCATACCACGGGCGGGTTGGGCAGTATATTTTTGGGCGTCTGCAGGAGATGCTCGGTCATGCGGCGTGCTAAAACACTATTTTGGTGCTGTAAAAAAAGTTTAGCGCGCAACTTCGTTGGACGCCTGTTGGAGATGCTCTAACATTCCTCCGTAATTAACCCGTTGCTGCAAATTTCTATAAAATGTTGCAAGTCACTAGTATTATACTTTCTCCGTTCGGAATTATTTGTCTTGGAAATAGATGTATCTAGAACTAAAATACATCTAGATACATCTATTTTCGCGACAAGTAATTCCGAACGGAGGAGTAGAAGTTTATAGAGGGAATACATCGATGGATGCTTTTGCCTCTGAGTTCCAAAAAAGAGCTCGTAGGGACCAGAGAGAAAGAAAAAGGTTGTGTTTTCAACTCGGGAAGCATACATGTAGATCGAAACAAAGAAACCAACATTTTCTAGTAGACCACGCTAACAAAACTAGAAAAGGCCCTAGAGAGCAGTCGCGATGCGCCGGCGAACCATGAGCGGCAACAGCTACCGTGCCGATGCGGCGGCGCTCTGGTTGATGATGGATTTGATGCGCTCCAGCTTGAGCTCCTCCCGGAACTGCCGGATGAACCGCTCGGCCCGCGCGTTCACCTCAGCCTTCTCTTCTATCTCCGCATGCACGCGCCGCCCGACAGTCTCCGCCACCTTCGCCGGCTCCCGCTTCCTCGGCCTCTCCGTCGTAGCACTCTTGGCGGGGGCCGTGGCTGGAGTTGGCTCCGGCTCCGGCGCGGCTCGCTGCCGGACCACTGCTACAGTGCACGCGTCTCCCAAGCATCTGGACATCTCCGACCGTTTCTCTGCTTCCGCCTCCTCGCCCCCCGACATCGAAGCCACCGAACGTACTTCCTCTGGTGCATCAGGAGCGCTCGGTCTCCACTGAGCCATGGTCGCCGCCATTATGCTTTCTCCCGCCGGTAGGGCCGGCTCCAGCTGCTTCACCGCGTGCCCGGTCTCCTCTCCTCCCTCTTCTGGCGACGTGTAGTACTCTTGCGACGCCGGCGGTGTGAGGCTGCTGCCATAGTCGTGCTCGGGCACGGAGTGGAAGGCAGCGAAGACAGGCATGGACCGGAGGCGCTCCATGACCATGGACGAGGCGCTCCGGGTGAGCCTCCTGCGCCTAGACACCTGCGCGTCGCCGCCCTGCCGCCAGGACAGGACGGCCACGGCGCCGACGACGACGTTGAAGAAGAGGAACCACGCCGCACCGGAGCTGAGCCACGGCCAGCACCAGGAAGACTCAGCCGCCATTCGAGTGAATCTTTTACAGGTATGGAGGCTTTCCAGCGGGATAGAGATACTGGTGGCGACTGGCGATCGATGAGTAGATGGTGAGGACTGAGTGAGGAGTCAGAAGTACACTAAGGTGGCGTATATGTAGTACACTAGGCGTGTACAGCGATAGCTGCTTTAAGCTTTGTTGATGCTGTCCATAAACCATAAACTATAGCGCGAGTACAAAGAGAGAATACGCGTACAAAAGCTGGCTCTGTGGTTGTTAAAATGCTGAGCACGTGTACTTCATGAAATTGGGGCGATTATTCAACTCCAATTGGTTCGGTTGTTTCATCAACCAGCAGCCTGCGAGAACATTCCCCGCAAACTTAACTACGGTTAATTGTCCCTCGCAACAACAACAAAAACTACTGTTAATTGTTCCTTTCTACACATGGCCCGACATTGGTTGGTTCTAGTCTTAATAATTTACCACAGTATCTGGCATGGTTTGGCTCCACTAGATAGACTTCAGTAATTTGTTACTCCAACTGGTACCGGTTTGACGCGTCAGATGATCCTATCGTTTCCTTCGCATTGCTTTCTCAGTCTCCATACGTCCTTGTTCGATTTCTCTCTTCCTGTCTGAAAAGAGCCAAGTATGTATTTTCTAGTGTGCTCGTGCTGTTTTGACCGTTTCACTCGCCGGTTTAGAGCATTTTCAACAGACGCGGTAGATTAGCCGCGCACCGCAAAAAACGATTATATTGTGCGCACGCAATCTGAACTGGCGCTCCAGCAGACGCGCTAAAATCCCGCGCGCGGCAAAGTAGGTTCAGTGCGTTGGGAAAAACGGCATCGCGCGCTGCTTATTTGGTGCGCCCGCTCGTGCGTGGTGTAAAATCTGGGCTGCTGCAGATGGGGCCGCCGGATTGAGCGTCGTGTTTTTGCGCTTCTGGTAAAGCAAAACACCAGCCCAGCGCACTAAAACGCTATTTCAGTGCTGCAAAAAATATAGATTTCAATAAACATAGAGAGCATAATAAGTGAATTTACATTTTAAAATATGTTTTTATACATATATATGTAGTTTGTATTGAAATATCTAAAATGACTTACATTTAGGAACGGAGTGATACATCGGTGAGATTACACAGAAAGTAAGAAAACCTCGATACCGTAATAACACTAATGTTGCTTCTTCATATGTTGCTGAAATATCAAGTGTACAAAACAACACAAAATCAAGTTATGGGAACTGAAGCGTCAAGTCTACTAAAGTGTTTCGATTAAAAACATAATAATATATGGTGAGTGAATCAAGTAAATGATTTTTTTGTTAAAGAGCATGTCTCTATGAGTCGGCAACTGCCAATGGATCTACAATGACTTTATTGTGTATAGCAGATAAGTGGATTCGACTTTATTTTCTATGCCTTTTGAAAAATTATTTTTGCATTAATTGATGTTGTCCATATATTTGATTTCAAGCAAAGACACGTGTCAACCAAGCAAAGCAGTTCCATCGATCATGGGGTACATCCATACATATGACTTACATAGTACACTAGCAAAATTCCAATGACGGCCAACAAAGTGCACTAGGCAAATTTGATGTAACCATCTTATTGTTGAAAAACATCTGCGTATGCAGATGAAGATCTTATTGCATGAACCTCTGAAGTGCTCTGTAGTGATTACCCCTTTAGGTAGCTCAAATATTCTTAAATTTGATGTAAAGTATGAGAAGCTACCTTTGTACTGTGAGTGTTGTGGGATAGTAGGTCATACTTCTGAGAGATTTTGTAAAATCCCAAGTGAGGAGAGAGTAGTTTGCTTCCAAAAAACCTTAGTGTGGAGCCTTATTGGAAGAGCCAAGGTGCTAGCAGGAGGGGTCTCCTCTTCGGAAACTACTCCCGCAGCGGCAAGCATACGTCTACAGGCATCGTCGACAACAACATCGCCAAACCCGCCGACATCGTCACGGTGGCCACTGCCGTGGGTGGTCTCACTGTCTCCGATAAAGGGTCCGGCTCTTCTGTCAAGATGTCCACCGGCCAAGAGGGCCGGGCTCGGGGGGTCTTACAGCCTGCACCGGCAGGCGCGTCACTTGGTCAGGAGGACCAGGAGGGCGCGATGGCTGCTCTTGCCGGGCGGGACAATGAGGTCCAGGGCCAAGTAGCCCTGGAGGACTCGCACCAGGAAGGGATGCAAAACCAGCAGCTGCAGGCTAATGTTGACTCGGTCCAAGCCATCCAGGCGGGTCAGGTGGCCATTTGCACTCATTCACAGGGGATGCCCAACCAGGTCCCAACGCCTGGGGGTGTTAATGGCAGCCTCCTCTTCCAGCCGGGTGTGCTAGAGGCGCTGTCTAGCGCGGTTGCCGCAAGGATCACTACAGGTGGTGGTGCGAAAAATAATGCTGTACGCTTTACATTCAGTGCAGCTAAAAACTCTATGCAGGGCAACTCAAAGAAGAAAGACATTCATTTACATTCATTATTTTTCCTGCATAGAGTACTTGTTTGCGCGTTGGGAAAAATAATGAATCCCAAAAAGAAGCGTACATTCATTTACATTCATTTAGGTTTTGATTCTATGTTTGTAGTGGAAAGCGACGGTAAGGCCGGTGGCCTAGTTTTGTTTTATCAGAAGTCGAATAAAATCGAGTTGAACTACATCTCGCCCCACTTTATTGATATTGTTTTTATGAATGAGGAAGTGGTTCAGTGGCGGTTCACGGGTTTCTATGGTCGTCCGAAATGGAATGAGCGCCATCTTTCTTGGGACGATATTCCCAATCTATATAGTAAGGGCAATCACCCTTGGGTTGTTTTGGGGGACTTTAATGAAATTTTATACCCGTCAGAAAAAGAGGGTGGTATTGCTAGACCACTTGGTATGATGAGAGAATTTCGTGAATGCCTAATGGATTGCGAGCTGGATGACCTTGGCTATACGGATGACCTGCTCACTTGGAGGAGAGGTGAAATTCGTGAACGTCTTGATCGAGGGGTCTGCAATATAGCATGGGCAGACAAATTTCCACGAGCGGCAGTAATCAATGAAGAACATGTTCATTCTGACCACCGCCCAATCGTACTGGATACGGATTACTTGGATGCAAAAATCTTTAAACGACCAGAAGGGCGGGTTAAACAGTTTGAGGCGAGGTGGTTGAAGGAAGAGACGGTTACTGAAATTGTTAAGGCATCTTGGGAGAAAACAAGACTTGCAGGTATTGGACCATCACTTGCTGATCGTACGAGAGCAGTACATGCCGATCTACATACCTGGGACCGGGAAACTCTAAAGGGACCAAAGGTGAGAATTAGGAAATTAAAAAAAGAATTGGAGAGATTAAGGCGCGACCCATTAAATATGGAGTCTCAAGGTCGTCAGAAGGAAATTATTGTGCTAATTGAAATTATCTTGGATCAAGAGGAAATTTTCTGGTTAGAAAGAGGACGGGCAAACTGGTTGATGCACGGGGATCGTAATACGTCTTTTTTGCATAATGCTGCCACGGCTAGGAAAAAAAGGAATAATATAAAGAAACTATTAGATGAGTCTGGGAAATGGCTAACAGAAAAGGATTTGACGAATCACATGACTGAATATTTCACAAAGCTTTTCACATCGGAAGTTCAGCATCCGAATCAAGAAGTTTTATTACTTGTGCGTAAGAGAGTGTCAAAAATGAACAATGCTCTACTTTCTCCTTATACCGCAGAAGATGTTCGCAAGGCTTTATTTGACATTGGGGACTTGAAAGCTCCAGGACCAGATGGACTCCACGCTATCTTCTATAAAAGGTTCTGGCCCATGCTAGGGAAAGACCTAATTGAGGAGGTTCTGAAAGCAATCAACACATGTACTATCCCGGATGGTTGGAATGATACTGCAATTGTGATGATTCCTAAGATTAACACACCAGAAAAGGTATCCCAGTTTAGGCTGATCAGCTTATGTAATGTGGTATACAAAATAATTGCAAAAATGGTGGCCTCTCGATTGAAGACCCTTCTACCAAAAATTATTAGTCCAACACAGAGTGCTTTTGTACCAGGTAGATCGATAACCGATAATATTTCAGTGGCCTACGAATGTTTTCACACAATCAAGAATAAAAGAGAGGGTAGAGAGGGCTTGTGTGCTATAAAACTTGACATGCACAAAGCCTACGATAGAGTCGAGTGGGCTTTTCTAAAGGAGATTATGCTGAAATTGGGTTTTCGTCGAGAGTGGGTTAATTTGATTATGCAATGCGTCACAATAGTAGAATACAAAGTAAGGATAAATGCAGAGGAAAGTGAGAGTTTGAAGCCTACTAGAGGGTTGAGACAAGGGGACCCGCTATCACCTTACCTATTCCTGCTGTGCACAGAAGGGTTGAATGCCTTGCTCTCGCATGCCGAGGAGAACGGGAACATATCAGGAGTTAAAGTCTGTAGAGACGCCCCACCAGTAACTAATCTCCTCTTTGCGGATGACTCGTTGATCTTGATGAAAGCCAACCAACATAATGCGGCGGCCCCGAAATCAGCA